AGCCACTTTAGAGTGCCCCACCACTTCTGGAGCTTCGCCGGGGTGACCTCCAGCGTGACCGCCTGGTTCATGAGGTGCCGTACGTCCCCGGCCGTCCAGGGGAGGTTCTGGAAGCCGATCTTGCGCATGCCCTCATAGGCCAAGCAATGTGCACGGATGGTCCGGAAACGGGCATCTCCGAACAGGTGGCCAAACTCCTCCAGCTCCTTGGCCCCCATCACCTGGTGCATGTAGGGGATCTGGTGGCGGAAGGGAATGAAGTAGCCCAGGAGGCGTTCCAGCCACCTGGCCCTCAAGTGCTGTTCCAACGCTCGTTGGGATGTCGGCAGTTGGGTTTTGATCTTCCCTGGTTTCCAATGCCGCCACTTGTTGGCCACTGCCAGGACATCCGGGGCCTCAATCGATCCGGAGAGGATCCACTCCTCACGGTCCCGGATGGCCTGTTCCATTTCCAGTGGAGAATAGGTGTACGATTGTCTAGCGCCTGCCGCACGAAACAGAAGTTGCTGCAGGGTCTTGGTACCGAGCTCCAAATCCGCCTCCTCCAGCGGTTGTGGTTGGGAGCCGAGTATCCTTGCGAGGATCAAGTTGTAGGTGTCCGAGGCCACCAGGACATGGTCATCGTCGGGTGCCATCCCCACGATTCGTGTCCACGGTCGCGGGTCGAAGACCACCGCATCCGGGTTGGCAACCTGGTCCTTTTTGACCCATTCCAGGCAGCACGCCACGAGGATTTCCCCGTCCGACTGCACTGGTGCAAATCCAAGGTCATGCAAAATCAACTGGACCGCGGTTGGGACCCCTAGGAAGGTCGTTCCAAACGGGGAAGGGAGGCGGGGCCTCCACATCATCATGATCCACTCGAGCCCGGAGCCAAATCTCAGGGCGCCTTGCACGCACTTCAAAAGAGAGACCCGGGAAAAGGCCCCGGGGGGCCCCAAGTCCTCTTCCGGGTCTCTCTTTCACTCAATGCATGCGGCAGATCGCTTCTTGGACGGGTCCGGGGTCTTTTCGCGAAGCCGGACGTTGGAGGCCCACATCCACTCCGGAAAGTGAAACCCGGGCGGCCCCAAAAACCCCGGAAAGCCAAACCCGAAAACGGGGGGGGGGGGACCCGGGGAGCCTCCACGGAAAGGGAAAACCAAACGAGGGGGGGGGGGGAGCCCAGGCGCACTCCGGACCAGCCCAAGCGCGCCCCTTTTTCTCGCCTGGTGCAGGCCAAGGCCTGTGCTGTGCCCGGGGGGGATATCAGCGCCATCGGCAGCTGTCCTCCCCCGGGGTGCCCTGCAATTCCGTTCCGGATGGCCGCAGTGTTGCATGATCACACGGCCCCCTTGGCAATGTCGTCAATGCGCTTGAGCGCCGCCGCCTCCGGGTTCCGGAGAATCAGCTCCCAGATGGCATCTGAGACATGGCCGGTCTGGGTGACGTGGCTGAACCTAAATCGTGGGACTTTCTGGTCCACCACGGAGACATCCCGCAGCGGGGCAGACGGCTCTACCCGGCGGTAGAACTCCAGCCGTTCCTTGACCCAGCGGTTGTACAGTCCATCGGGCGGCTCGTCCAGCACCAGCTGAAGGATGGCCTTGCCGGCCCGGATCTGGAGGAGGCGAGTGCCCCCTCCCCCGGCGCGCCAGTACCCCTTGCAGTACTTGCACATATAGCCCCCCCGGGTTTCCCCCTTCGTCTTGGGGATGAGCTCCCATGGGGTGACTGAGCTCAGAACCAGGCCGCACTCCATGTGCGCCCAGAAGACGTGCTTCGTCTCTGCCGAGAAGTTCTTCTTCTTGTACTCCTTGCCCACCACGCCGTGGACGTTGTCCGATGTGATGGGGGGGTAGACGATCCCCTCATCGCCCTCTCCTCCCCTGGGGCGGATGTCAGGGCCATCGGCACCTGTCCGGCACCCGGGGGCGGAGGGGTCCAGGCCCATCAGCTTGATCATGTCGTTGGTGTAGCCAAGCTTGCGGTAGATGGAGGGGGCCACTGAGTCGGGGACTGCGCCGACCCACCACTGCTTCGTGTTGCAGCGCCAGTTGACTTTCACATCCGCCAGGGCCCCCGGGCCTCCAATGCGGTCCATGAGGGCCTGGTACACCTCTGGGAACTGCTGGAGACTCTCCACCGGGACCGATATGCGCTCATCACATACCGCCCGGAGGATCATCTGTTCCTTGGAGTCCGCCACGTCCTGGACCGGGAGCTGCATTACCTCCGCCGGGGTGTCCGTGAGGAAGGCCCGGGCCGCAAGGACCTTGCCCATGGCCCGGTAGACCAGGCGCCACTCCGGTCCTGTCTGCGGAAGCGGAAGGCCCTCCTCCTTCAGGAAGCACCGAGCATCTTCCTTCAGGGTCTCCCAGCCTTCCAGGCGGATCTGATTCTGGGCCTTGTTCTTCGGGCCCCGCTGCCTAGGGCCCTGAAGCAATGGCAGAGACTCCCAGACTCCCCAGAGCTGGCGCAGAGTGAAGCTGTGACCAAACATCCCCAGCAAGCCTGGGAGTGTCCAGGACGAGATCTGGCGCGTCCAGTGGAAGTCCTCCTCCGGATCGTGGGGGGCCGCCCAGAAGATGGATCGCAGGTCCTCGGGGTATGGTCGGTCCCCCGCCTTGGCCTGCTGGTTCAGCTCCTCAACGGAGTACCTGGCCCATGGGAGTCCACCCGCCTGGTGGTTCCTGGGATGCGTACCCTTTTCCAGCGCCTCCGGATTCACCTTGGTGAGGTTGTTGGCCCAGTCCGGGACGTGTACGGGCCCCGGTCGTCGGACCCAGCGGCCCGCAAAGATGCGGACCTCTCCGACACGCTTGCTCATCATCCAGCGCAGGACCGCGAGCTGCACCTCCGGGTCCTGGGTGTCCAGGCCCCCCGGGGTGGCGGACGGCTTGTCAGGGCCCTCGGCACCTGAGCTCGTCGCACCAGAGCCCGAAGCTGGGGGGATGGTGGGCTGCCTGTCAGGGCCCTCGGCACCTGGGCGCGCCGCACCAGAGCCCCCCGCCTTTGGAATGGGGATCCCCGCCAGATCCGGCAGATCTGCCAGGAGGGCCCCCGGAAAGGGGTTCCTACCCAGCGAGATGACCGCCTTGGCTTCGAGGTAGGAGTCCGTGAGGGACGTGAGGTCGTCCATGCTGAAATCCCTCCATGCCGTGGTCGGCTCAAAGACCCCTGTCTCAATGGCAACTCGGACCTCGCTAGGCCACGCACTGAATGGAGGCTTGATGGGCTCGAGCATTCTGGTCTCGAGGGCGCCCTTCGCTTGTCTGGCCTGGTGCTTTGCCTTCGCCTCTTCCGCAGTGGTCTGGGCCTGGAGGAGCTCCGGTGTGGGCCTCCCCCAGTCCGCGCCCAGCTTATCCAGCAGTTTCTCGCGGAAAAGGTCCAAGTCCAAATTCTTGAGGAGTTGTCCCCCATCGCCTCCTCCATCGATGGCCCCTCCTTGGAGCTCGTGGAGGACCGCCGCAGATCGCTCCACCGCTGCCACCTGGTCTGCCTTCTTTGCCTCTTCCTGGGCGATGGTGGTGGCGTTGAGCCGGGTCTGGATTTTGAAGGCCTTCACTGCCGACGGGTGGAAGGCCCTGCACTCCTGGCCCTCTTCCTTGTCGCCCGGCAACGGGGGCCTTTCCCCCATTGGGGCCGTCAGGAAATCCTCGTCCAGCTCCATGGGGCAGTTCCTGATCACCGCCCGGACCGAGGAGGGGACAAAATCCGAGAAGCTGGCCTGGTCCAGGTTCTCGCATGCCATTGGGTCGGTGGCCAGCTCGCTGACATCCACCGAGGCGCTGAGCTTGAGGTCGCGGGCCCGGTCCGTGTCAGGGCCATCGGCACCTGCGGACCGGGCCGCCGTCCAGACCGCATTGCCCTGGTCATCCACTGTCAGCTGCCAGTGCGTGCCCGCCATTTCCAGGGTGGCCAAGTTGGACGCCGTGTCGATGGGCTCCGTCTTTTTGCCGCACCCCATACACTTCCTGGCGCCCTTCTTCACCCAGGGCATGGTGCAGCAGGGGCAGATCCAGGATGTGGGCTCCTTACCCAGGGGGCGGTTCTCAAGGCCCCCATACCCCAGGCCAGCGCGCTTGCCAACCTTCTGTCCCGGGGTGCTGAGCAGGGCCTCATGCTCATACTTCATCTTGGCGATGTAGAACGCCTCCACCACGCGCTCCAGGCCCCCCTGCTTGAGTTGGGGGCCCTCAAAGCCTCTCAAGAGCCGCTGGACATCCTTGGCCTGCAGTCGTCGGAGCCTGGCGGCCGTGGTCCCATCAAAACACGGGAAGTCGCCCGCCATCTGGTCCGCACTGAATTGGTAAAGGCCCTCAGAGACTTTGAGGGCCTTGGTGAAGACGCTTCCCCCTGGCGGGGGGGCTGCGGGGTCCTCATCCCCCTCCGAGGACACCTGCGCCCTGGCCTTTTCCATAAGGTCCTGGCGTCCCTGCCACTTGGTGTCGGACATCGGGGGGTCCACCTCATCTTCCGCCAGGGGTTCCTCCATCGGGGGCTCCTCCTCGTCTTCCGCCAGGAGTTCCTCCATGGGAACATCCGGCTCTGGAGGGTCGAGAAGCTCCAGGAACGCCCCTGGGGGGCGTGTCAGGGCCTTCGGCACCTGCGCCACCCCAGGGGGGGAGTCCGCCATCAGCTCGTCCTCGGCCTTACGCTTGGCTGGGATGAGTGGGGCTTGCTCCAGCTCGTCGGCGCTGGAGAAGAACCGTTCGTCCGGTGCCTGAGGGACCTCAGCCGCCAGGACGGTCCAACCTTCTTCCTCCTTTTTCACAAGGCTTGCCAGGTACTTCGCCATGGATGCCTTCGCCTTCGCCTTAGCCTCTGCAACCGCGGCACCAGCATAGGCGGGGGTGTACATGGCTTTGGTAGGAGGGGAATGAGAAATTTCAGATTCCAAGACAAAAGGGAAGTGTCCACTTGAGCCAAAATGGTGGCCCAAGTGGATACTTACAAAGAGTCAAGACAAGCGACCACCTACGGTTAACACTTTAGCCCAATCAACTCTGCCCGGTCACTTGCCAGAAGATGGCGCAGCCTGCAGGGGGCGTCAAAGGGCAATGCCCCTACCATACTGCCCCTGCTAATGTCATTGACATGTAGGTTGTGACTATGGAATCCGACTGGCTGTCAACAGGCTAGCTACACTACACCTGACTGCTTGTTCTAATGGAGCATCTCAACTGTGTGGCATGAGCTAACGGGTTTCAGATGAAACGCCCAAGTCTGGCAACTTCCCACTGGCGCCTGGAGGCTCCGCAGCAGGAGCCGCTCCACCTCTCGTCGTTCAGCGCTGGAGGTGCAGGGCGCAAACCTGAAGGCACGGGAGCCGTTCGGTGTCACGGGATCCGCGGCTCTCGAATAAGCAAAGGTCAACACGGCAAAGGTTTGGCCGTGTTTCGCTGGGAGGATAAATGCGCCCTCAAATGATGGTGCTCTGTTCCAGGATGTGCGCACATGTCTTCCTAGGACCTGCAAGAGCTGATCTGTCAGTGAACATCAATTTCCCCCCCCCCCCCCACCCCCGCCAAAAAAAGACAGGTTCATGGCTAGACAGACAGGCCACACGCCCTTTCGTCCAAGCCTGGACAAAACTGGATGGCAACTATGCTCGTTGTTCGAGGGAAGCAACGGCTACTTGGCGTTGGCAAAGGCTGAGAGGACGTGGTAAATGTTGCGTTGCTGTGATTTTGTCTTTTTCTGGCAAGCTCAAGGGCATCTCAAGTTTTGACACAAAAAAAAACACACGCATGGCCAATCACCTCGAACTCATCAGACCGTGATTCTGGCCCAGCTCCAAACTGCCAAAAGGGACCGGGACTCAGATTCAGAGCAACCATGTGCCCGCCTGATGCCCGAGATATTGCGCCGCATCTCGATCTTCACCCACTTGCAGGGCAGCTGAACAGTGTCCAATCTCTGATACTGGCCTGAGCACACCATTGTGCTCGCGTCATCTGACGTCACAAGCACAAGTCGCACAAGAGTGTGGCTGTTGGCACAAGAGTACAGCCAAATGATATTATGCCTGGATGGCCTGTCTTCAGTTGAGATGCTGGGCAGCTCAAAGGGCTGCGGCTGCAGCTGTCTGTGAACCGCCAAGAAGATGTCCTTGAAGGTGTCCACACACTCCTCGTCACCAGCCACCAGACCAGTCTGCGTCCTGTCGTGGTTCATTGAAAAGCCAAGTCCTCTGGTCCGTGGGGAGGTTGAATTCTAGAATTGTGATCGTTCACGCGATCGTGGAAGAAGAAACTTTGCGGTTTAGCTGCCTTAGAGAAGCACGGGTGCCAAAAATAGGCGACTCAACTTCAGTCCTTTGCGGGGTCGAGCGATTTATGTTGCAACCTGCAACACCTTCACTGATCCGCTCAGGAAATTGCCGGACGCACAGGTAGAAAGCCGACACCGCGGGCAGGACCTTGCCAGCTACAACCGCGCAATCTGATGTTCACAAGACCTGAGCAGTAACCACTCCACCTATCGCAGTAAAGACTCCACCTATCGCAGCAAATACATGTACACAAAAGTGTATAAACATTATTTACATACACAACCATAAGGTGGCATGGTCAATGCAGTAGCATGTTCCAAGATTCCATGCAAACCGGTGAGCATGGCGCAGCCGAACCCGGCGTATTAGTCAAGTCTCAAAAGGGATTCTCAACAACTTGGCTATATGAATCCATGTTTTGGTTTTGTTTCCCCAACTCGGATTTGGCGCAGCGGGTGCCGCGGCTGTGCTGCGTCCTGTGCTTGCCCACTTCCGGATCGAAACCAGGCCGCAGGCAGTCGCCAAGGCCAGTGTTCCTGCACCGCCCAGCTTGAGGCTTTGAACAAAAACTACATGCAGTACAGCTGGAAGCGAATCGGGTGTATAGAACTTGACTCTCCATCTTGCAGATCAGAATTAGTGGCCAAATACCAGTTGGCCTGGCAACAGCCATGCTTTCAGTCTATGCTCGTCAATTGCGCCTGCAGGTATTATCAACAAACTGAAGGCTCATATTGAGGTCAAAGGCTCAAATACATTGAGCGCAAGGAGTCAGCTCAATATCAAGAGTAACGCCGAGATGACACAATCAGCTGGTCATCTGGTCATCCAGCAACTCCCGCATCAAAACGACGTAACTTTTCCAGGACAGTAGCCAATGAAATAGGCGCCACAATGCACGTTCACCACAATACCGTGTTGAACATCATGCTATGTTATAAAGCCATCAACCCAACGTCTATCTGATTGAACAATTGGTCGAACAGGAGCAAAGAGGCCCATCGTCGGGTGTCTGTCAGGCCAATGCTTCTTGAAAGCAGAGCACTCCTTCAAGTGGTGGATTGCCTGTTCGTTTGCTTGCGACTCCTTCAGCAAGGTTCCCAATCTTAAGAAAGTGGGTTGGCTACATCAAAAAGAGGGATCCCTAGTCCAGGTCTATCCACAACACCACTGCAAGAAGGGAAACCACTACCGGTCACCTCCCACCGCCTGGAGGTGCTAAGCTGGCAGAAATTGGTGTAGAGCTCTGGCTCAGCGCGGAGGCAGGCGGCCACGAGACCTTGCCATGGGCTCGATCCAGGGGAAGAAAAAAGCGGTGTGGAACCATCATCCCTCCACATTTCTTGGTTTCTTTCAACATCACCACTAGAGACCTGATTTTCAGACATTCCCACAGTTCGAGCGACCTCAGGTGTCTGGGTTTCGTAGCAGGTTGAATTAGGTTGCACTTAGAAGGAATTCAGAATGCCTCGAAGTGTGGTTGTCAACAAGTAGGCCACAGGAAGCTAACAACTTAGTGAATCCGAATTTTGTTCCTGTGCAACCACCGTACAGGGAATCATCTGGATCCATTGCCTGGCAAAAGGCAGCGCAGTAACAGCGACGTGGTATGAAGCAGAGACTTTCCGTTTTTGTTTGCCTCTTTGTCCTGTGATGTCCTGTGGTTGTCAAGGGCAGGGCGCCCAATCTCCAAAAGAGCCTTATACATAATATCCGCCATGCCTCGCAAGTCTGAGCGCAGCGGTGAACCAGTTTCGCGGAAGGCGTGAGTTCACCCAACATGGATCAGCATAGACCATCCATGCGTATACCACACATGTATGTATACATATATAATATTATATATACAGTTATATAATAGTGTTTATAATATATACACATATAACTTATAGTCATACTACGTGCTCATCATGCCTGGCAAAGTTAACTTTTCCACAAGGGGGAAAGTATTGGGAGTAAGGCAGCCAAGGCAGGCTAGTCGAGGCAAGCCACTGCTGCATGATGACAAATCCGGCATCTCTTTCGGACAGCTTCCGCGTGGAAACCGGCTGGGATACTCGAATCCTGACTGCATCGCAGGTCCCGCAAATTGGGCCACAGCTGATGGACAACTTGGGCCCTGGGTTTCTAGTTAGAGGCGGCGCTGATGAAAGAAGCATGTCAAGAAATCATCCCCGTTCTAAACATGAAGCCGAGGAGCAACAAACATTATGTTCTTCTGAGATCCTGTGCGGCACGGCAAAGATAATATCGGCAAACACAAACATGTACGATGTTTCCAGGCTTTTTCACGAGGGGCCACCTCATCGTCTCGCTCTGCTGTTCGCATAATGGAGGCGCCAAACATGCCCATTGCAAGCAGCGCGAACGGACCTCCATCTCCAGAAACCATGTCTAATGAAACGCGCTGAACAAGGGATGCCAATGAGCTTCAGTCAACGTTGCGGAAGGGCCATATCCATTCTTGTCTGCATCGCATTGTGCATGGCCAATTTGGATCCTGCCGAAACAGCAAGCTGTTTTGTGAGCGCGAGTCTGCTAGCTCTTCTAAACTCTTGATGTCCGAGTTTTGCCAATGTATGTGTCATGGCGCGAATGGTCATGACTTCCTCAAAAGGGATAAAATTGCTACAAGGGTCAATGAGCATCCCGATTAGGCCCAAATAGACCAGGCCTTTGGCTCATGTTTAAAACACCTTCCTTCCCCTTCCAAAACAACCAAGCCTCCCCTCTGCGAGGCAAACAGCACACAACGCCCCCCGCCCCGCCCCTTCGCCGCGGGGATGTGTCCCATCCGATGTCGGCCCGATCCAATCTCAGGCGCCGATGCCAGGGAGCACCGGGAAGATGCTTTGGTTCTTCTCCAGGCGCTGCTCGAGGCTCACCAGCAGCTGACACGCCTCGAATTGGAACCGGAGAGAGACGAAAACCCTGCGGTTTTTACATGGTGGTTGAAAAGCTTGGCCCATACCCAAATCTAGTTCCGATGGAAAATCAGGTAGGGAATCGCGTGGAATCGTTTCAGAGAAATCGAGACAAACTTCGAGTGAGATGTCGTTTGCTCCCCCTACACCAAGCACTAAATGATTCCCACGCTGCAACCAGAACCCATCGACTTTTAACCAAACTGACCTACAAGGAACCAAAAGAACCTGACCTGCACATGGACCATCAAAGTATGTGTCTATGTGGGGTTCACCTATGCGAAGAAATACCACCCACTTTGGGTAGATTTGGGCACAAAACATCTTGCAAATCGTTAACATTGGGTGGATTTGGCCACAAGACATCTTGCAAATTGTTTGCCACCCTCTGCTTTTGCAGGGTAGGAATTTTGGAGGAACCCTCCGAATGGGGTGGTCTCCCCTCACGGGCATGTCAGTTTCTGCGGGCACTTCTGGGGCGGTTTTCTATTGGAAGCCACAAGGAGAACAACAAACCTTTGGGAGTTCGTCAGATCAAGTCTCACATTTGACGAGCCTGGACCATGGACTTCATGAAGTCGACCTCCGACAGCCCCAGGCTGTCCGCGCTGTGGAGCTGCCACAAATTCCCAGAGATGGCGCTGGTGGAGGCGTCGCAGACCAACTGAAGGGACTGGCACAGCCTGGAGCGTCGATGTGCGGTGGGGTGGTGTTTCCATTGCTTTCCATTCACAACAAGCCTGCAAAGGGTGGGGTGCTTGGCTTGAAAGTAGAAATCATAAATGGATTCTACTGGTGAATGACATAAATGAGCCAAACTGCAACCAGTCCATTCGATTTCAAGCAAACTGACCCAAACAACGGACACCGACCTATGCCAAGAGCCTTACCAGAAGCGAGTTGAGAGAAGGCAGGGAAAACAGGGCAGGGCACAAGAATGGAATGCTCGCAGGTAACGTGTTGGCATCTTTTTGGATGGCACAGGGCAACCCGAAAGGAAAACATGTTGTTGTGAGGGGAACATATTTTCTAAACCGCATGCGTTCTTTTGCTGACTCAAAGAACATGAACACAAGCCCAAGGACAAGTGCTGCCCTGTCATGAGCAAACCAACGGATGATTCACAGCCCATCCCTCCCAGGCCGCCAGTTGCTTCCATCAGCTTGGTGAAACGCACAAGGATCCCCCAATAACTTTGCCACACCCCAAAAACCCCGAGAAAGGAACTGAGGTGCAGAATTCAGGTGCAAACCCTTGTGGATGATTACCCCTGAGGCCCTGAAAACCTCACCCCCCCCGCAAAGGACTGAGCCGAGCTGAGGGGCGCCGGCAGATCCAGCGCCTTCGCCAGCTTCGGGATGCGCAGCGTCACTGTGAGGCGCAGGGCTGCCCCCAGCTTGGAGGGGCAGCTGGTGATCCAGCCCAGCCTGCAAAACCCAAACTGGGCTTCTCTAAAAGTTTGACCCCAGAACACTTCTCACACTCCGACATGCCAGAACCACCTCAGGACACGTCAGCACATCCAGGATATCCATTGTGTGGCAAAAAGGGATGGCGCCCTGGCAAGGAGAATTGGATGCACGCATTTTTTGCGATCAGATACAACAGCAAGACGCTTGTTGCTACATCATTGATGATCTCAAACTACATTGGAAGTTGTGGAGAGGTTTCACAACAGTCCAGACTAGGGAGAGAAAAAGGACTACAAAGGATCGGCCTCCACTGGACAGTAAGGCTCTAAAGCAATGCACGAGCACCATGGCACAAACAAAAGCCGACTGGATGGAACCACGACTCACTAGAGACCTCCATTCTGACTGAGAAGTGCAACCATTCTGCTCGTATTGGCCATTGGGCACCTTCCATCATCCCGGAGCCGTCTGCCCGGGTCCCGCCTCTCCGAGCGGGCAAGGCGATGGCCTTTTCGGGTCACCGCCTCCTCCACTCCGCGCATGGCCTTTGCCAGGCGCACGTAGAGCTGCCGCAGGTCGCAGCCCTCAGACCGCGCGAAGAACCTGACGGAGCCCGGTTTTTGTCCGAAGGGTTGCGTGGACCCGGGTCGAACCACAAGTTGGAACTCTCGGTGCAAGGCTTGGGCAGCTTTTAAAACGCTGAATGTGGCGCTGAAAAACGACAAATGTGGTGATGGGAAAACGCTGAATGTTGTTTTTCTCTTGCAATACTTCAAGAAATCTGCAGTAGCTACTTGAGTCGAGCATGGGCAGGTGGCAGGACAGGTGAGTCGTGGTTTTGTGAAAAGTGCAAGCTCTTCTGCAAACTCTTCTGCAAGCACTTTGGTACTGACACACAAAGGAAATCGATCTGTGAAGACGTCTGCTATAGGGGCTCACAAATATGCCACTGCCTTTGGTACACCCCTCGTTTTGGATTCTACCAGTAGGGTTTTGGCTTGGGACCTCCAGGTTTAAGGTTAGGGTTCACTTGTAGGTTTTAGGCTATTGATTTCGGATGTCAGTCTAAGGCATCGTTTTTTTAAGAGATTGCCAATGCCAAGCTGGTGGCTGTAACTGTCGCTTGTGCAGCGTCAATCTTGTGAGTGCAATGGTGTTTGCAGTTGCAAAGCCGATACCCATCTAAACAACTCACCCATGCATCAGCGTTTGTTCGCCCTTGCAGTAGCCAAACCTCGAAAGCTCTACATACTGGCCTGCAACACGCAAGGACAACGGTTGCTCCCTCTGCCAGGTAACCCGATTCTGTCTAAAAGCGGCAGAATCAAAGCTACGCGATCACTCCCCCTCCCCTCACACACAGACTGAAATTTTGGCCGGATCTCCGGGCCTGAAGTGGTCCTCCTCGTTGCACCAAACGCAGACCCCAGGCGTGTCCGCCACAAAGACGCCCCGCGCGTCTGGCCAATGGCGGCCGAAGCCGGCGGCCAGTTTCAGCGTGGAGTCGGGCTCTGTGAGAAGCATGCTCATCCTTTGTGCAAGTCAGTCCAAACTTTAAACTCCTTGCAATCAAGCACTTCACCAAAACAAAAGCCAAAAGCAACGCAAGAGCTCTTGCTTACTCTCTCAACTCTCTGAGAAACACCAACGAACTCGTGTAGCTCGATCTTCCGTCCGGGGCTCTTCCGGAGGCGCTCCTCCTGGTAGGCGGCCATGCCGTGGGGCCGCAGGGGGCAACTCTGGGAGCCCCGCAACGGCAAGTAGGAGCCCCGGAGGGAGGAGCCGACGGAGCTGGTGCATGCGCTGCACAGGATCTTCTCCACCTCCCGGCGCTCCTCCTGGAGGCCTGGGGTCAGCGAGTGATTTTACGATTGGATGGTTTATTCAACTTGGGAAAACGATCCATGCAAAAACTGCAGGTCAAATTCCTGGTTGCCTGCAAAGACTCAAAACTGAAAAGTGTAGCCACACCATCTGGCTGCATTGGTTGGAAAGCGAAGTGCGGAAACAGACTGACCGTGTGGAGAGGTGCCTAGTTCACCCACACACAAGACGCGAAACCTTCCTGCAAGTTCCGTCATCTGTCTCCGTCTCTATGAGATATGGCTGGACATGCGCAACAAAACGGATCCCACATTCTACTTACCCGTCAGCCAAGCAGCAGCACATCGGGAATCTCAGCCCCTCGATATTCCGGCGCGCTTCCAGCGACGAGTACACGACATACACGCCCATGTAGTCCACGGAGGTATCGGCAATCCTTTGCACAGGCTGGCATCAAATCTGGGTTCATTAATGCAACACTAAACACAACGCAAGACAACATTATTCAGATTATTTCCCCAAGGGGACAGGGGATATTCGGGTGGGCCCACATGGTTGCCTGCGTGCCTCCCAACCTTTCAAGCCCATTTCATGGCACATGCAGCGCTTCACCACTCAAGTGCCATGGAAGCTAGAAGCCACCACACATCCACCACAAGGTTCTTGGAAAGAATCATCCAAACATCACCTTTCTCAGATCCCTGCAACTTGCTACCAGCAACTCTGGAGACGAGCAGCAATTGCACCTTGAAAACATGGCTCCCTCAATCCCGTGCTCTCCCGAGGCTCTTGGAGACATCCTGATCCACCGGGTGGGGCCAGTTCGCGCCCTGCACGGGCCAGCCCGGGTGCATCTTCGCCACCAGCGGGTCGAAGAAGGCCCGGAAGGTGTCGTAGCTCTCCACCTGAGCTACACTCGCAAGCGACTCGCGCGTGAAGCACCCTCGGCCATGCGGGAATATGGGTATGTGGTTTTTCGAGGGTACACCTTTCAGAGTTTCAAGGGACATCAACATGACAACTGCCATTTTGGGGGTCCTCCCATATTGAAACGAACACATATTGCGTTTGTTAGAGCACCATGCAACAATGGGGGACATGAATCTTGCAGATGATGTCCAATGGAAGCTTTCCAAGTATCATTCTTACCCAGTTATTGTTGTCTGATGACCAGGTCTTAAGCAAATGAACAGAGCAAAGAGCAAACATATTCTATCACCATCCAGCCGACAACCTCTTGAACAAAATGCGCCCCTGCCGCCCAATTATATCCATGCTGGGTAAGACACCATCACACAGTCACGCACTTCAAAACCCCGCTCAGCTGTCCCACCCACGTCCCTGCAGCCCTGACCTACGTTCTCCCCGGTCCCCGTGACCTTGAGCCACGCCCACCACTCCCTGCCGGCATGACCTTCAGCCAAAACACATCGCCTGCGAAGGCGCCTGCAACCTTCACCAACGGGTGGCCGGGACAGTCCACTGCTGCTTTTACGCAGCGCGCGAGGGTCACATCCTGGCAAGCACCCAAAAGTGGAGAGTTCTAAAGGACAGAAGGCGGGAAACTGGGGCCATTGCTCTGTTTCCATGAATCAACCTGTTTCGGCTAGCGGATTGAGCGCGGGTTGATCTTGCGTGGCTAGCTTCCGCGTCATGTATCTGCCAACACCATGACCGAGGGTACGAGAAATCCCTTCCTCCTATTGATGACTGCACTCTGTTGATATATATATATATATATATACATATTATTATTATTATTTTTGCGCAGACCCCAAATTTCCCAGTACAAAACTAGAATTAGCCAACACTAAGACAATTCCAAACCAGCAAATTTCCTGCCGAGAATTAGATTTCTGCTGTGTTGACATTCCTTACCCAGAAAATGTAATGGGGTGCCCCATCTGGACGAGGACCGTAGCGGTCGATTCTTGCGGGGCTGTACCCTATTAATAGAACTATTTTGGCCCCCCGGCACATATCATATTCTTTAGGGGGAGCCGATATCATTGGGGGGTAGGGATTATCAACCTCAATGTTCTGGTGAATCTCTCGCTCTCAGTCTCTTTCTTGTTCTCTCTCTTTTGGTTTCTCTTTCTCTTTCTCTTTGCTTTGCTCTTTCTCTTTGCTTTGCTCTTTCTCTTCATCTTTCTTTTCCTCTTTTGCTCTCTCTCACGCAGCGCTGCACGAAAAGCAAAAATACGAGAAGCAACGAGCTTTTCACGGACAACCGCACGAAAGCCCGCAAAGGGTTTGCCATTTGATGGCTGCAAGCGCCTCCGCGACACAGGACCACGCCTTTGCCATGCAGAACAGCCGTATCCTATTGAGGTCACCCTAAATGTTCGTGCATGCGTGCATGGTATGCATCTTATGCATGCATGAATGTGCATTCTGCAACCGACATACTCGTCTCCATCCAATTTTCTTTGAGCCATAGCCCCTCAGCGCCTTGGAGGTACTCTGGGTCGCCAGCTCCGGAATGGCCTCGCGCAACGTGCTGCTGCGCAGCACCTGCGCCCGGGTTAACGTTGGCTTGCCTGTGGCGTGTCTGACTCGTGTCTGTGTGTGAAGGCCTCGTCGTGGGGCAAACAAGTCTGTATGTGACGGAATCCCGTGGGGTCGTGAAAAGGGCTGGATGCACGCACACAAGCACGAATCTGGTTTCACAGAGTAGATTGTGGCATGACCCGAGCTCTGGATGGCAACATATTGCCCGATTGCCCGAAAGGCCGGATCTGGCCTCTGTGGCAATGCTGGTGTGCTTGGAGAGGTCTGGCAGCGGAAAGCTCTCAAAGCCTCGGGAGCAAACAATTTGCCTTGACCTCGAGGAAAAAATGAAAAAAAACCCTCGATTTCCGCTATCTTCAAAAAGCGAAACCTGCTTCGCGCTTCGCCCTAGGACGCTAGGCCATGGCCCTCAAGACTGCAATGTGACATGCCCAAACTCAACATTGGTGGCAATGCCTTGGCCTTTTCTACTCCAACAGAAAGCACACTTCTGAATTTGGGCTGAGAGCTCCTTGCCTGCCTTCTCACTTGCCTCAATGGTTCGGATTATCCAACGAAATTACAAACACAAAGGTGCACAGTTGACTTGGGTTTAGCCAGCTTGATTTCCTTGTCCGAGCAAGGAGCCTGGCAAGGCTTCGTCCCCCAAGCCGGGCTCAAACGAGAAGTCGATCCCTTCCATCTGATCCTTGGCTTTTGTTTGGGGCGGCGAATCTGTGCTTACTTCCTGCCTCTTCAGCGAGGACTTGCTGAATACATGCAAACCAAAGATGTACCATGAGATCAAGCAGACGATCTTTGGCTGGCTGACTGGGGCACTAAACACCTAAACACCCATGTTGCGATCCAAGCGCCCCAACTTGTTCTATACAAAGGTTTGTATTGTAGAATTCTGCAAACTCAACCACCCTTTGCACCTAGATGCTGCTTCGCAAACAAAGAGACCACCGGCGTCCGACATGGTGTGGAACCACATCACAATCACAAACTGTTCTGCTGGAAAGAGTCACGCAAATCAAAGGATTACGAGAATATGTATGGGAAAACTGCCAAGCTCTTGCATGATGCAAGTAGTTCAAATAGTGAGGAAAGGAACGATCTATCTCAAATGTTCTCCCAATGACTTCTGAACATGTAAATGTTCGAGCAAGCCCACTCAGAGTCTCCAACAGCTGATCTGTTTGAAGGCTTTCGCAAAACTTTGAGAGAACAAGCACTTACCACAAGCAGTCCAAAGCATTTTTCTGTTCTGCCAGCTGGGCAGGCTTGCAAATTGCTTGCTTCTGTGTGAGCCTTGCTTCGCTCGCTGCATGCGAAAATGAACTCGAAAGGAAAACATGAATGCTGCCCTTCTACATGTACGAGCAAAAAGAAGAGACACCTAGAGTGCCGGGGCGCTGCTTCGTCGCGCTTCTGGTCAATGAAGTCTGCCAGAAAGCCCAAATAGTCTTCGGGCTTCCGCTCCTGATCTCGGGCCAATGCTTCGCAATCCTGGCGCTTCTGCATCTTCTTTGGATGTTGGAGTACACTCCAGACGTGTTACTCTCTTTGAGGGCTCGGCCACAGTAAGCACCGCAACACATCAGCCAGCATGGCTCTGCGCAATGACTGAAGACCTTCGTACTCAACATAACAGGTTTTACGCCCACTCAACGACCATCATCAACAAGGCTATTTTGAAAGTATTCCACAAGTCAAATGTCGACTCAAGCAAATCCGGGACACACAATGCGCACCAAGTCACGAGCAGCTCTGCAAACATCTCCTGACCAGGGCAGTGATGCGTTGTGTGGCATGAAGCTGGCACGTAAGCCTCTGAACTCTCAAATCATAGATGCTTGCAGTCTGGTGTTTGTCTGAAATTCCTTCTTCAGCGTAGCATCTTCAAGATCAAAAACAGCGCGAGCACAGCTGCATCGCATATTTTTCGCAAAAAGCAAACCCTGCACACAGCAAAAACAAAAGGTTGTTAAGTTCCAATCATACAACATGTACGTACATATATATATATATATTATATATATATATATTATATATATATATATGATATATATATATATTATATCGATTTCCGCAGTAGACCCCCAGCATGGCTAATATTGTGATTTAATTACAGGTCTCGATCTTGTGACTGAAAAGCATTAAACCTGCAAAGATACTGGCGAAATCATGTTTCGCCAGGTCCAACGCGGAAAATTGTCAGAGGCTACTACCAACCTGTTTATACAGCTTCCTATACTATAGGGATAACTATAATCGCTTTCACACCAGGTAGGAACATCACCTACTAAAATGCCCTATAGCAGTTTTTGAGCGCTGCTCAAATGTCGCTGCTCAAATGTCGTTACTCTTCTTGTCTCAAAACAAGGGCATTTCGAACAACTCCCGTATGCTTTGTGCATGTATCTCTGTGTCATCTACTAAGCCCAAACCCATTTCAAACTACCAAATCCTCAAACAGCATCTCGATCCCGGTAATGGGGCATGGAACTCTTGGCAAAACGGCGAAACAACTACTTCTTACGTGTTACCTGAAATCCAATAACATGACTTTGAACTATGGGCAACGTACATCCCCGTGACTTGCGAATGGTCTGCTCCATTATCAAAAGCTATCAAAAGATAGCCCGCAAAGGTTGCAACCATCCATCACCCAGGATACCGTGCGTGCGCAAGGCTGCCTGATGTCTAGGCTTAAAAGCATTCTTGCGCCAAGCAGCCCAAGCTACAAGCCACCTGCCAGAGTTGTTGCTGGTATAAGACTTCAACTATCCAATCATCATCAATTATCACAACAAATCAACAATACTCATAGATATGTACAGCATAAGCCGGCAAAGTCGGCTGCTGGAAGTTTCCAGCAATGTAAAAACTATACTTATCGTTCTTTTCTCTTTCATGTCCTTTCTCTGTCTCTTTCTTTCTTTCTCTTTTCTATCTCTTTTCCTCTATCTTTCTTTTTCTTGCTCTTTCTCGTTCTTTTCTATTTCATTTCTCTTTCTCTTTCTATGTCGCTTTCTCTCTGTCTTTTTCTCTTTACATTTCCCTCTTTATCTTTCTCTCTCTCTCTCTCCCCCTCTCTTTTTCAAGTTCTCTTTCTCTCTTGATCTTTCTCTTTATCTTTGTTGCGCTCTTTAGTTTTCTCTTTCTCTCTCTCTCTTCTCTCACTCTCGCTCTCTCTCTCGTTCAATTTCTTTTTCGCTCTGTCTCTCTTTCTCCTTCCCTTTCTCTTTCTTTTCTCTTTCTCTCTCTTTCCCTCCTCTTTCTCTTCTCTTTGTCTGTTTCTCTTTCTCCCTTGCGAAGGTGCTGGGCTTGCCACGAAATCTGTGCCTGACCTTGCGAAGGTGCTGCGCCTGCCACGAAATCTGCACCTCACCTTGCCAAAGTGCCGCTGCCTGCGCTGCAGAGGTGGTTGACATCGACGCAGACCCGCCGAAACCCGCAGAGGGTCACTCTTTTTTGCGATTTCTACTCCCCCGCCACATGCCCACGCAAGATTTCTCGCATGCGTTCATTCTTTCTTCATCTTGTCTGCGCGCAAACTCTCCTCATACGCGTTGCTTTCCGAGTGCGCTATCTGATCTTCTAAAGCTATTTGCTAGAGCTATCCTTTCTCACGCGCTATCTCATCTTCTGATTCTATCTATCTACGCCAGCTACCTTTCAACTAGTCTCCGTACTACGGAAGTTCCACAAGTCGCTGACAGCAGTTGCCAAGTTGTCCCGGGGCGAAAAGGATACCAAGCAAATTCATTCGTGCCCAACGAGCCTCTCAGCTTGCTCTGACAAATAGAATTGGAGCATGTCTGGGCTGCATTCTATATTTCGATCTAAACACGTCGTTGCACCGCCATATCCATGATAGCATCAACCTGCTAACTGGGATCTGAGCGACACAATCACTGCGCATAGGCCGTCCTGGAGAAAGGGCTGGATGCCGCTCTGCTCCATGTACTGCTTCGCCCGCTCTGCCGCGCTCTTGCCGCGCGAAAGGCCCTTCTCCTTCACAGCTCATAGCTCCCCAACTATTTGATTGGTCCAGCTTAGCTCCGTCCAAAAAATGGGCACCCACCTTTGAGGCTGAATACCAAAGCCCTCAAACAAATCAACAAAGCTGCGGGCTCTCATCCACTTCGTCAACGAATTGACAAGAGCTTGTGAAGCTCAGTAGGTTCTGAAAGCTTCATGCAAGCCTGTGTGTTGGCAGTCAGAAAGACAAAATATACTAAAAAGAACACTATGATTCAAGCATAATAAACACAACACGTGGATGGATCTGCAACATTGTTAGATTGATGCCTTCGCGGAGCGATGGTGATGGCCGTCCCTCCCGCCTACTCTCCCTCCCTTCCTCCCTCCCTCCCTCCCTCCCTCCCTCGCTCTTGAAATCCCTCTCTCTCTCTCTCTGTCTCTCTCTCTCTCTCTTGTGACAATGCAAATGCATCCTCGGAGTCGCTTGCTCGCGTTGAAGCTTCAAAAGAGACTTTCATCGGAGCATTGCTGATGTCCAAGCTATCAATCCTCAGCTGTCGCTTGCTGGCTATGGCAATTGTCAATTGTTCTCCAACACTTTGTAACATCTGACCCAGTCTCCTTTCACGCACCGGCAAACACACATGCCACTTAGACAATACCACATCGGTTGCTCTTGAAACGTGAACCAAGCCAAGGATGAAGCTTGCTAAGGGCTAGGATAAGCGCAGGCAGGTTTAGTACCCAAACTCAAAAGAAGTAGCTGCTCAACTAAGCTACATCATTCTTTCAAGCTCAGTTTGCGCACAATCGCATGAGCTGGCTCATGACTATTCTTCAACTGTGTTGTCTAAACTAAGCAAATGCTGAGGTCTGGTAAACTGTCTTCGGCTGCAGCTTTGATACGCTTTTTAGGCAAGGCGCGCCCAGTTACAACTCAGAACAACCATGAACTCAGTCTTTCCATAAATCAGGTGCGTGGATGAGAGGAACGAGTGATATTTGTGTTTACTGTCAGAACAATAAATCTGTTGGCGGCATCAGCTTGGCTGATGCCAAAACGAAGCAAACAAATCCTGCTTGTCACGCACATGTGTTTGCCTTCCTGAACGCGATGCAGACTGGATTGAAACACTGGTTGCAGTCGTTGCCTGCTGGCACAGGAGCAACAATCTGGGTCGAATTGCCTGCAACAAGCGCAGTGTAATTTAACGCCGACGCGGCACAGCTGCATTTTGGAGTTGTCACTTGTCAAGTCCCCAAGAAGACAACGCTGCAACCAGAAGTCAATTTCTCACGTGTGCACAATTGAGCTTGCACATGCTTTGATAAACCCTCAATTTGCCTTCCTTCCACCCATTGCACGCAAAGGCCGTTTTGCGGATTCTCAACTGGTCTGCGCAGTGCTTCCATACGAGAAGCATCATGATTTAAATATCAGACCGAAAAGGTGCCACATGCGGTGGATCCGAGCAGCTCCACATTCTTCACGCAGGCACCCATGGCTGAGATGCCAGCAAGGCTGATCTGCGCAGAAGCCACCTGCGCAAACAGCTCCGGAAAAAAGGCAAATGGGGAGGCAGCCAACAGTGCGTGACCCTCTATTCCACATGGAAGCGGGACCAAAGCGGGCCTTTGCAACACTCGTCTTGATTGAAGGTGCCTTATGGCATTCTGTCTGGTTCTAGCTTGATGCAAGTGTTGATGGGAACATCAACCCCCAATATGGGCGGCACATTGAGGAAATGTTCGGTGAGTCCGACTTTCTGGCTGACAGTTTGACGCCTTTGAAGGTCAAGGCAGCCGTCATTGATGTGATACGAAGCATATGGTAGACCATGTCTCTTTTACGTCTGACTGCAACATGTGATGGGATTAGAGCAGGCCTACAATCAAGTCCTGAGGAATCATCCACGAGTTCTTTGTAAGAGTAAGTGTGGCTGCACCAGTCATCAACAACACATACAAGGCACACATACAAGGCTCAGAAATGTGTGGCCAGCACTCAACAAATTGTTACATAAGGTGTTGGCTGCTCCGTATAGGTTCTTTGCTATAATCAGATATGCTTGTCAAACACATCTTCTTTTCTTGGCCGCCTATTTTCTAGACAAAGGTGACCAAACCTTTGAGAAGCAACCTCACGGCAAGTGCTCAAATGCGCCGTTTTCAAGTGGTCCTCTGTGCACTTCAACCAGTCTCAATGGGTTTGACAGGCATTTGGCCGGGGCGATGGTTCTTGGCCTTGTCCCACTGGAAAAAGGGATCTGTTCTGAAGCTTGGCCACTGGTTGATGCTGAAGGGGAAGACTAACGCCGAACAAAGGGTAAGACCACAAGCCCATTGATTCCACGGGGCCTTGCGGAGCACATCCACGGTAAAGGCTTTGGGCTCCTTCGTGCCAGAGGGGAAGCTGAAGGTCTCGCCAGCCCGGAACGGAGCCTGGCACCAGGCGTCTTACCATCGACTAGGCCTCTGGCGGACATCAACTAAATTTTAACAACCGCAAACTTTTGGGCGGGGCAAAAGAAGACACGCTAGGCACCCTGCAAAGATCCAGTCATCGCCCCGGCTTTGTGGGAAGCCCTGAATTCTGCTCGACCAGGTGTCAACCAAGATGACGGCTTCATCCAAAAGTGATGTTGCTGTCTTGCCCGCCTGCTTCCGCACTTCACCATATCTCATGGAGAGAAAGGTGTTGGCCTGGACGCGCCCATTCCAAGGCGGACGATCAACATGAACGCAACAACTCCGCGCCATGCTGAGTGAGGACAAGGCTAGGATTCATCACAATGACCTCCTGGCACCTGGTGGAATAATAGAAAGGGTGTCCACGCGTTAGCGGGGATCCTTCACTTTTTGCGGGGGTGCACCCCACAAAAGTGGACCAAGTCGGGCAAGTCCATGGCTCGCATCAAGACCTGGGATCACACCAGGTGCACCCAAGGCCCAAGCGCACAGGTGTCCAACGCTGAGCCCAAGCCCTGCTTCTCCAAGCCGAATTGCAAGAGGCACCAAAACACGAAACATCACGAAACAACGCGCACATCAGCAAGGGACGAGAACGCAAACAGTCGGAACTGGCTCAAATCAGAATCATCCAAACCATCATGATGACAACCAGCAACACTGTTCAACACTAATCTTTGTGGCTAGCAACCACGAACCACCCAGGAACCGGGTGCATGTAATCCGATCTCATGACTAGGCATGGTGAGTGGGGTTCACTTGATGCTGTCCTGCATGGAAACACACACCAGGGTGGAAACCTGCATTTGTCCAGTGGGTTGGCAGCTCCGATTTTGCTCTGACTCAATGTTCCTACCTTTGATGCGATGCTCATTTGCCCACACAATCGATGCGATGCTCATTTGCACACACAATCCATCGTGAAACATGGCACACTAAAGCAAGCTTCGTTTGATTTAAGACTGGTGTTGCTTATCATTATTCTGGGGCCTCCTCTTTATACCTCCGCTGCTCTAAGCTCGCCACCGGAAGTTCCTCCACATCTAGCACCTGACGAAAGGCCGTGATGTGTGGGGGAAGCCTTGAAGTTAGCCGAAGGTTGGAGGTTTGTTGGGCCGCAAAGTGCTGGTGGCTCACTCGAGAAGGGATACAAGAAGCTCAAAATACTTAAGCATGTTGGACTCGCACAAGGGTGCCCTAGTACTGCCAGCATTGCATGGCAAATGAGCGGAGATGCCTCACAATCGCCTGCTTGGATCACTGTAGCTACCTTCCCAGAAGCCCAGATTGGTCTAGCAACTGACAACGACCTATCGATAAGACCTGAGGGCGACATTTGCTTGCAACTAATTACTGGCAATCCTTACTTCATGGACAATCACAGTAAGGATGTGGGTAAACGTGTCTGTTCTTTGAAGCCAAGCAGTGCAACCGAAAGCACGAATGTCACACATCAAACGCCAAACATCAACTAATTATAAGGGCAGCATTTACATGATGCCCTTGTGTTTCTTTGAGTGGAACGTGGGCTGTTTGCTCGATTCAACCCAGCTTGCCCCACGCGGCAACGTTGATCCCCTTCACTCCACACATTGCTTCCCAAATGCTGCCCGGCCTTGATATTCATGGCTCCGATGTGCACAGGGCAGATTCTTTGGGCTGGTTTGGGCAATGCCTTGGGCTCTCAACTTGGAAAGCTGGAAACATCGTGCCTGTCCTGATCTCCAAATGCTGAGGCCAAAACATGTTTTGTCCTGCGCCTTGTCTGCCCCCTTGAGCCAAGAGCATGCCAAGTTCATGGCTTGTGCAAACGTAGGCAATCCATGGTGAACTTTGAATGCCAACCAGGTTGATATACGCTCACTGGTATTGGGGCTTTTGCCTGGTCTTCAATGTACAGTCAGTCCTTCTAAAAAAAGCTGTGAGTTGCAAGCCCAAGCCTGCCAAAAGAAAGGCTGCTATGGCACGCATCGCAGGGACATTTGACCGGGACAGGCAGAACCAGTTTGACACATTGACCTATATGTCTGAATGAAATATCAATGGGCGCCTCAATTAACTCAAGATGCAACACGCAAACACCATCATCCCCCCAAACCATTCTGCAAACAGCTTGTCCATTGTATCCCTGTGAGTCAGGCCAAATAGCCGAGATCAGTCCCACTCAGTCAAGCACTCGTGGCATCTCCAGGCCTCGTTATCCTCATCCATGGTTCCGCGGAACCTCGGCTCTAAAGGCTTTAGTTCTTGCCTGCGTGCAGTCCCACGCTGTGTGTGTGGGGCCTCTGTCTCGAGCACATGCCTTCTGTAGCAACAGGCTTCAATACTTGCGCTCCCACAAACATGGCCCATGGCCCTTCAAACAAGCTCACAAATGCATCAACCGAGCCGAGACCGTTCAGTACACGATACGTTTTCAAGAAAACGATGGCCTGGTTTGGATCGGAGGCCATGAGGGGGAATGATCCAATGGCCATAGAGCATGAAGGCCTGAAACCAGGCTAAAGCCAGCTGAGCCGCGTCTCAACCTGGCTCTGCTGCTCGAACTTTGAAATCTCCGCGTCCACGATTCTGTTCAGCTCTTCCTGATGAAATGGAGGAGCTTAGCTTTTTCAATTCAGATCACATTTTGCCAAGAGTGGCCAGGTGCAACCACTCAACATAGTGATTTTGTTGAAACTATGTTCCGCCTGGCAGTGGGCTGAGCTGTATGTCTACGTAACAGGAAAACGACAAAGCTTTCTGCCAGAGGCAAACGGGATGCCCGTCCCCGGCAGGCATCTCAAGATGGTTCTCACGATTGCGCTCCTTTCAATTCAATGCCATCTTCCAGGTTGTTCAACGGAACAGTTCCAAAACGCCGGCGACCGTACTACCAACGTAGCAGGCAACGGACCGCGCCGGATTCATGTTGTTGTTCTTCAGGTCGGCTTTGGTCTCAGGCCGCACCTTGGCCAAAGCAGCAGGTCCAAGCTGGCGAATCAGTTTGCAGTTGTTAAATGAGGCCGTTGCATGACAAGCAGATGATGTAAGGAAGATTGGCTAAAGCCCAAAGTGTAACAGAACGCAATTGAGTGAATCCTTGGACATGACTTCCAGACAGCCATTGTCCTGTTCTCATGGTGAATCCAAACTGGCTGAGTGTAGCTAAGTTCACAGCAAAGACCAAGACCCTCAAAGATGACTATGTCCATTTCCAGCCGTCCTCAGGCTGGCGCTTTGAAGCCGGGCACGTCCTTGCCTTCAATTACCCAGCCGGACTCCTGGCCCGTCGGGTGGTCCTCGAGAACCTTCAAATGGGACGGCCTCCACTGGCACTTGACACTGCGAGTCAAGGGAATAATTAGAAAGCTTGAGTTATGGAGTCAAAAAGCTTCTGTTCATTGGTATACTAATGAAGGTATGGACTGGAATGGCAGATTCAGGACAGTCACTTCACATTGTGTTTGGTGTAACTGTCTCCAAAGGGTCTACGAAGGATATGAACATCATTTGACGGATTTACTTCGAATAAACCCAAGGCTCCCTCTAGACAGATGCAGAACTTTTGGCCTCTGACTCGACGACGGATCTTGGATTCAGTGATGCAATGATCGATGCACTTGGCAGCCCCACACGTCCTCACTGTTACACCGCTGACTACCACGGAACAAACTGCTGAAAAGCAAATTGACAGGAGTCAAAGAACAACGCACCTGCAACAAGCGTCTAACTCAGCTAGCGATCTGGTCCGACACGGTCCGACACTCGGTAGCCCCTGCTTGTGCAACAATACCACCGAACCATCCAAAGTCGGGTGCCTTCTTGACGCCCAAACCATCGCAGGTTGCCTGCAAATGGCATTTGGCGAGGCAGACGAGGCACGAGCCGTGCCGAGGCTCTCCATTTCTGCACCATCTGCGCTGTGGGTTTGCATCATCCCTAAATGTGTGGTTGCATTTCCCTTTGGTTACTTGTTCCTGCAGCCGTAAATTGGAGACCAGCCTTGGCAACAGGGTCGATCTGGAATTGGCTGCACTCGTTGCTCATGAGGAAGAGCCTCCATCCACAATCGCATCATTAAACAAACACATGGCCAATGGGGCTAGGGTCATGCTCAATTCGGATACCTTGCCAAATGCTTGGCTCCCACAAAGATTCAACTTTGCACTGGGGGGGTGGGAGTGCGCATCATACTTGGCTGTCTTCTGATGCAGCCAAAAGTATGGCATTGTGGAAACCAGGATCAACTTGGGATGCCACCAAACTACACCACGTGCTGGTGACCACCCAAGCCAAGACAATCTTGGCAGCCATCAACTCGTCGGCTCGCTTAGCTGCAGCTGCAGACAGGTTCCGCTTACAAAGACGCCCTTCCATAGAGTCTATGCGGAGCTAGCGTGAAGAAGCGCTGCCGGATGATGGCCCTGCTCACCAAACTGCAGTGAAACCAGCTTCTTGCAACATGGCAACGCCAATTTCTAACTTTACATGTAAGTCTGCTTGCAAAGCATTTGACCGCAGCTGGTGCAGAAACAAAGCTACACGCCTTGCTTACGTATTCTGGGCTCTCGGATCCTCAAATTTAGCAAGGTCGGGCACATATGGAAGCATGCCTGTGTTCTTTTCGAAAACCTGATGTATTCATTCCCGCTCCCGACTCGCGTTGAAACCAATCAGCTCTGCCATTGATGTCTCTGAAGGCTAGTCTAGCAAGCAAGCCAAACAACTTGCATATCCAATCGCCATCTGGGAATACAATATTGGTGGCTCATACCAGGCTGAAGGCAGTCCCCGGACAGGACACTTTTCTTGAAGCAAGCCTCACGTAAAATAGCGAGGATTTGGTTTGAACGATGCTGCAACATCATGTCAGCGACGAATCTGAGGCTACGACTTTTCTCCGTCCTTCTTGTAGACGGGCCTAGCCAGAAATAAGAGAGCCTCGCAGTTCAACTGGTATCCTGAGCAGTCCTCATGATGGCCTGTGCTTGACACCAATCTGTGATCTTGCAGGTTCTGCAACATGGGCTTGTCTCGAGCAATTGAGTCGCAGATTGGAAGGCTTGGATTGCTTGGTGTCCCGGATTTCTTGACAGATTACGGGATCAAACTCACACAGAATCGGGCGTGTGGCCCTCATACACTATGAAGGTCACAAGTCCGAAAACCCAAGGAGAATCAGGCAACAAAGACAAACACAGCATACAATTCACCCATTCGCGCACGCTTGCCATGTTTGCAGAGCCCCAATGCTGAGGCTCGGACTTGCCATTCAGCTTCTTGCCGAACACGATGGACCAGCGACCTGGCGTGAATCGGCATGCAAACTGCATGCAGATTCCTGCATGCCGATTCCTGTGCCTGCAACATCAATGATCTTCACAAGATCTGTGTATGTTTCACGGACACCCACGAAGAACAACACGCCTCCAATCTTGGGGCCTGCCTCAGGCCCATCACTGAGACCCATCCACTGCGCGCAAACCACCTCGCCAGGGCGGCCATTAAGGGGAAGAGCCTTGGAGGGATAGCCCTCGGCTATGAGCGCTTCAGGCCTCAGTTGGACGCGAGTGAGATTTTGTCAGTCAGACCCATGCAAACATTGTCGCTCACACTGCTACGTCATAGATTTCATGGAAAATAACCTCAACGGGCCACAGCTTGCCAGCATGGATCATCCTGTTGTTGGTCGATGCACACCATCGGAAAGTCATGGTCTGAATCCATACAAAAGCAGCCTAGTCCACAGATTCGGTATGTTTGTTGGCTTTATACTTTATCGGGGACATTATGTATATGGGGTGTTATGCCCAACAACCCTTTTGGGGACTTGAAGGAGCCTCTTGGCCTCAAATGACCCGCAAAATTGTGGCTGTAAAGGGAAAGCACCCCCAGGACCCAGCGATTGGACAGCAGCCTGGGCGCCCGTGCGGTCGCTCCTTCTTCTTCTTCGCCTCCTCCGCCAAGGCCGGCGCCGCGGACGCGCCCAGCACGGACGCCGCCCACGCGGCCGCGGCGGAGCGGCGGTTCAACGGCGCCACGAAGCTGGGCCTACCGGAGATCGGAGACGAGCGGCGACCCAAAACTCGGAGCGGTGAAGACAAGTGGCTTGGGAAGGAATCTGAGCCTGCTGATTCTTGCACGTACAAGTAAGTGTATTGACCCGACCTTACTGCACGCCTACATATCAGGTATGTTGTCCTCTAAGTACTTCTAAAAAGCTATACAAACATATTGCGAATGCTCACCACCAGCGTTGATCATGTTGCCATTCACCGCCCGCACCTGAGTCTCCAGGCTGCGAGGCCCAGGAGGGCCCAAACCAAAACGCTTCTTCTCCGCACCATGGTTGGAACGAGCCGCCGTGGGGCCGATCTGTGCGCTTGAGCCAAGCTGGAGAGATGGGGGTCAAAAGCTGGGCTGGGGGCTTGCAAAAACCATGTTTTTGTGAGGCCAGCCCTCTTGCTCGGAGAGCCCAATAAGAGAGTTCATGTGGGCGCATCTTGTCAATCGAGCGTGGGAACAGACGTGCATGATGCATTGAAGAATCATGCAACACTTTCTCTGTGCTGTTTTGCTCAAAAGTCGAAGCATAACTCGGTTTACCCTGTCATCCTTCCCCCAAAGTGAGCTTGCTTTGCAGCACAGGTTCGGTGCCTAAGGGCAATCTCAATGACAAATAGATTCCGAATCACTCTGGGCGCAAGGCTCTTCAATCTGAGCTAGGATGGTCATGACGGCTTCTTTCGCTTGCATCGCGTGGTCCTGTAATTATGTGTCT